TTTTCAAAATTCAAAATGGTGGATACAAAAAAATATAAAACACAATATGGCGGATACGAAAAATTTTCTAAAAAATCATGAAATCGCTCAAAACTTGTTACAAGGGTTTTTTTTATCTCTGACTACAGATTCGTCATCAGCGACCCCGAAAACCCCCGAGTAACGAGTTTCAAGCGATTTCGATGATTTTATAAAAACTCTGCCATCTTGGATCCGCCATATTGGATCGAATAGTTTAAATATTGGAATTCTGACTACAGATTCGTCATCAGCGACCCCAAAAACCCCCAAGTAACGAGTTTCAAGCGATTTCGATGATTTTAAAAAAACTCTGCCATCTTGGATCCGCCATATTGGATCGAATAGTTTGAATATTGGAATTCTGACTACAGATTCGTCATCAGCGACCCCGAAAACCCCCGAGTAACAAGTTTCAAGCGATTTCGATGATTTTAAAAAAATGATCCGCCATTTTGAATCCGCCATTTTGAATTTTTTAATTCTGACTATGGATTTATCTTTGGCGAGCTCTAGAACATAAATATAATATGTTTTGAGCAATTTTAAACTAAAATCTTAAAAGTATTGAAGGATTAAAAAAAACCATCGTGTAATTTTTTTACATATGCCATTGGGGTGGCCGCCATTTTGAAAATAAAAAAAAGGCCACTCGGCTTTCGATTCTATATAAAAAATGCTAAAATTTGACTACTATAACATTGCGATTGGTTCAAACTGCGAGTGGACGCTGCCATTTGCCTTTTCGTATGGAATGACCCACATACATACATACATACATACATACATACATACAATACATACAATACATACAATACATACAATACATACAATACATACAATACATACAATACATACAATACATACAATACATACAATACATACATACATACATACAATACAATATTAAAAAGCATTCACTGCACTATTTTAAATGTTTTACAAATTTATGTAAAACATCAAATTCTTCATAAAATAAGTTTATTTTTATTACTATTTGCACTAAAATGATTATAAACTACACTATTTAACAATCCTAACTTTGGTAGACGCGTAACTATAATTTTCGTTTGCTGGCTCCTTAAGTTTAAGATAGTATTACACTTTTCAAGCAGTAAAAAACGGGTTTAGAAAAAAAAAATTTTCTCGCTTCTTAATTTATTTAAAGGAACAAATTTTTTTTTTATAACATTATATGGCATTAAAACTTTTATAATAAATAAAATAAAATTTTTTTATTATCTCTCTTTGGTCACTAGAGGGCCTTAATCGAGTTTTTCTCGAAACGTTGCTTTTGAAACTGGCGGACAGCATAACTCGAGTTCTAATGAACCAATTTTTTTGAAAAAAATATCATTTTTTTCGTAATTAAATTCTTTAAGCATCCCCCCTAAATCCAATTATCTATTTCTTTTTGGATTTTAGCTACAATCCAAAAACTAACCAAAAAAGACCTAATTTTTGACTTTTTTTTTTTAAATCGCTGCCATTTCGTTAATTTTCAATATTTTTTATCGGGGTTAGGGAGGATGCTTAATGACATGTCTCAGCTTCAAAACAGTTTTTTGTGTTTTCAGATCCGATGTCCCTGAGAGGCTGTAGCCTGTCCGCCGATTGCCCAAATTTTTTTTTTGCCTTGACTTTAAGGCCCTCTAGTGACCAAAGAGAGATAATAAAAAAATTTTATTTTATTTATTATAAAAGTTTTAATGCCATATAATGTTATAAAAAAAAATTTGTTCCTTTAAATAAATTAAGAAGCGAGAAAAATTTTTTTCTAAACCCGTTTTTTACTGCTTGAAAAGTGTAATACTACCTTAAGTTAAATTTTCTATTAATGCAAAGTTAAGTTTTAATACATAAGTGGAATGAATTTATCACATTCCTGAATTTTCATATTTAACTTTAGTTAAACATTGAATGAACAATCAGTGTCATAAATATGAGTCAAAATTATATTTATAATATATAATTCACTTTTTGTTCAGATTAGTGAGGGCTAGGAACACAATTGAAGATGGATTTGGCCTATTTACCAATAAGTGGACCATTTTCAAAAATAGAATGGACTTTAAATTGGGACATTCCATTAAAAAAATAGGAAAAGAACTAGGCGCAATTGCGCCTACATCTAGGGTTTCGTGGCGCTTTAAATTTTAATTAAAAAAAAAATAAATCAAAAATAAATTAAGACATGTCAACTCTTGGACATGTCAACTATAGAGACATATCAACTATAGGGACATGTCAACTACTGGGACATGTCAACTATAGGGACATGTCAACTATATGGACATGTCAATTACTGAGACAGGTCAACTACTGGGACATGTCAATTATAGGGCCATGTTAACTAATGGGACATGTAATGTCCATTCATGTAATGTCCATTCAGTAAATGGAGATTTGGGATCTGTGGGGCCCCAAAATTTGAATTTGGGAGCTATGGTGCCTCAAAATTTGAATTTGGGATCTGTGGTGCCCCAAAATTCGAATTTGGAAGCTATGGTGCCCCAAAATTTGAATTTGGGATCTGTGGTGCCCCAAAATTTGAATTTGGGATCTGTGGTGTCCCAAAAGTTTAATTTGGGATCTGTTTGGCCCCAAAATTTGAATTTGGGATCTGTGCCCTAAAATTTGATTTTGGGAGCTGTGGTGCCCCAAAATATACTACGGACAGACGGACGCCAAAGTGAAACTATAAGGCTTTCGGCCATGGGCCACGAAACCCTAAAAATGAATCACTTAAGTTCAGATGAAATTTTTATGTTAATCTCGTTAGATTTATATAACCTAACTTTTTTTGTGATTTATTTAAAATAGAACAAGAAGTAACATTAAAAGATCAAAAATTCAAAATGACGCTGAATATGACAAGTGGTATGATACCGATGATGAACATGAACCCGAACGAGAATCTGAACCAGAACTCGAAACTGATGTAAATTCAATTCCAACTGTCGACGATTCAATGCAAGGTATTAATTTTTTTCACAATTTTATTAGAAACCTTACTAAAATAAGTTTATTCCCTTACAGTAACCTGTAAAAACTTTTCAATTTAAAAAAATTATTATCTCCTAAAGTAGTGTGGATATTCATCGCGAAATTTTTTCTATTTGTTTATTTACTGACGAATTACATATTCCCAAAATACAATATTTTTTCATTTGTCTACAAAAAATTTATTAACGATTAAAAACTGTGGAAATCATCAAAGTCACAATTTTGTACTCGTAATTATCAAGTGAAAAAAAAGTGTACACAAATTCAGATAATTTATCCAAAACACTTTTTATGCAGTAACTTTTCATTTATTTAATGTTTCAATTGTTTCTTAATGAATTGATGAAAATAGGAAAATTAGGTTATTTAAAAACGAACTTTAAAAAAATATTTTATCCATTATTTTAAATTTTCTACGACTTTAATCATTAAAAAGGTAGTACATAATTTATTAATATTTATGTTTAACAAAATTTTAGCGAACAACAACAGAGCGATAGATTGTCGAACGCTGGATTATTTGGCGGAAATTAAACGAGCTTGGGAAAGAATACCAAATAAAAACAGAAGAAAATGTTTCTTAATACTTGATGATATAATCGACTCTGAAATTAAAGATTAAGAAAAATGCTTAATTTATACGTTATACAGATTTTCTTAATAAATATAATCATTTAGGAAAATATCAAGTCATATTTCATTATTTTACCACTTTTCCCAAACATCCTGTAAAAAAGTCAAATATTTTTAATTTTTAATGTGTTTTTTTGTAATTTTACCTACTAAAAGTTAGGTTAACTACAATGTTTTCAAACAATTTCTCATTATTTTAACTTAAAAAAAATTATTTACAACATTAAAATTGCTACTTTATGGATATTTTCAAAAAGCTATGATATTGAAGAACATTCTTCCAAACTGTAAATAAAATGTCTCGTCGATTTTTAAAAAATAAAAAAAAAATGTTGTCCTCTGCTTTTGAGTCATTCCTCTGACTTCTTAAATATTATCAAATATTTTCGCTGCGGAGAAAATAATTTATTAATTCTTGCGATAAATATTTGTATTAATATATATATATATATATATATATATATATATGGGATGTTCCACGTCAAGTGGACCAAAGCTCTGCCCATAATTATACGCAATATAAATAAACTTATAATATATGAAAATGTTCGTACACATGTAAAGTTTCAAACAAATGAGTGGCAAATTAAAAAATTTATAATAATGCTTTTGTTATAACAATTATAAACCATCATAAATGGAAATGCGTAAGTAAAAAAATTTCTCATTCAGAGACAAAAATTTGAAATTCTAAAGTCATTGTTGTTTTTAATGTTTTCGGGGTAGCTGATTACGAATCTGATGTCATAATTAACAAATTCAAAATGGCGGATCTAATATGGCGGTCGAATTTGAAAAAAATCGTCCAATTCGTTTGAAACTTGTTACTCGGGGGTTCTCGTTGTCGCTGATTACGAATCTGATGTCAGACTTGAAAAATATAAAATGGCGGATCCAATATGGCGGCTGAATTAAAAACAAATCGTCCAATTCGTTTGAAACTTCTTACTCGGGGGTTTTCAGGGTTGCTGATTACGAATCTGATGTCAGAAATAAGAAATTTTAAATGGCGGATTAAAAAAGACTATTAGAAATGTTTTAAACTTGTTACTCTGAGCTTTTTAAGTTGCCGATCACGAATTTGTCACGAGAGATTAAAGAAAAAATATTAATAAAAAAATCATTTGTTTTTTCGAAAATCAATATTTTTTGACGTAACTAATGTTCAATTAGTGAAAACTTACGCATTTTTTGACAGTAAGAACTAAAAGTAAATCACTTTCGATATCTCTGTCTAAGTTTTTAAGTACTCGTACAATCTCTGCGGTAACATCACGTAAAAATTTTAACTCAATAATCGAATCGTTTTGAACTGGTGAAATCGCGAGCAGTTTATTGATAAGTTAATTAATTATCACGCGTTTATTCTCATATCTTTTGTTGAACATTTCCCAAGCACTAAGGAAGTTTGCTTTCGCAATACTTAAGTGTTTCACAAGTCGTGCAGCTTTATTAGTTAAACTGGATTTAGGATAATGTAATTTCTGAGCATCTTGCAAATTAGCATTAGAAACTATTAACGACTGAAAAATATCGCGGAAATTAATCCACTCGACATAATCACAGGAAAAATGAGAAATTTCAATTTTTGGTAAATTAACTAATTTGCTAGTCTAAATCATACTAACAGAAGAACTTGAGTGACCACTTGTACTTGGATCTCGACCCTTAATTTCAGCAATTAGAACATTAAATCTATCCAAGATATCAAAATAGAGGTTTTCTACTTAAATAAAACAATCTTTAGTAAAATATTTAATCAATGACTTATATGAAGTTTTTGCAGCAACATTAATACCCTTGTCCAATGTTTCGTATCTCTGCCAAAGTCCTTCAAGGTATTGGCGGAGATCTTGTATCATATCCATCACTTTTCGTTTCTTGGAACTTTCACGAAGTCTTGTTAAGCTTTGCATCACTGTTTCTTGATCAATTGTGACGCTCCATACGAGAAGGGACCTATCCCCGAAATAACATCAGGCTCAGTTTTCCGTGCACCGTACATGAAAACTAAGCCTAATATTATTTCGGAGAAAGGTACCTTCTCTCGTGGAGCGTCACATATTAATAAATCTTCCATTTTGTCAAACTTAAATTATCCGGCTCGAAGGACCAATTTTGTTTGATCTTAATCTTTTATTTTAAACACAAAATTACACGATGTTGATTAAAATGTAACCAAATGAATACTGAGTCTCGTTCTTCTTTGTTTGTTAGGTGCCTCAACTCGCCCCTCTCCGGGATAGATGAGGTTCCTTGCATACCTGAAACAATAATTGAATCTCCAAAGAGAGTATAGACCATACTTTTAGGTCAAATTTCCACTTTCATGAGGAATGAAAAAATGTGATTATTAGGCAAACCATTATGCCTCCTTATGCCTGAGGCCCATTTGAATCGTCATACGAACCTGTCAAGAATTTTGTACAATTTTTGAATTTAGTCCTGTTGTGTTTTAGGACACAGTCTTGACAGAATAATATTAGAAGAAAATGAAGGTGAGATTATTTGGGTTATTTATTTTACATTTATAACATCTGGATTGAATAATAAATCATTATTCTCAAGGAATAAAAAGGAGCCCCTGAAATACCCTTACAACACGTCTCTAGATGATCACATGAAAATTATGTTTGTTTTGTCTATTTTCTAATTTAAATCGCCATTTTGAAAAATTATGTTACAAATTAAAAATTACTATAATAATCTTAGAATTCTTTTATTCCTTCATTCTGTCCAGGCTCGATCAGCTGTGAAGGATAGTTTTACAGTAGAATGTCGATTATCCGAGCTTCGATTATCCGAGATTCCGTATTATCCGAGGCATTGAACACGAAGTGCATGCTCGGAAAATACGGAAAAACTCGGATAAAACAGATGGAACCGATATGCATTAACAATAATTATACCCAAAAGTTAATCTACATTCATTAGATTTCAACTTTTATATACATTTACGATTAATTTTCTTTGTAGCACATTAAATACATAAAAAAAATGATTAAAATTTTTTAATTTTAGGTTTTTATTCCGTGTTATCCGAGTTTTCACTTATCCGAACTGCTTCTTCCCCCCCACATTACCTCGGATAATCGAGATTCTACTGTATATGACTCTTTTTAAATAGAAAGAAAAAAGGCGTTACAGTTCGACAGTCAGATTTTGCTATTGGTGTAAGGAGAAGCCAAGGTACGTTTCATGTTGTTTCGGGCGATCATTGATTGCGTCCTTATGCGGAAGTTGTATACCCCTACTCTACCGGCCGGGACATAAATTCGGAGCTCGAGGGACGCATGCACCGAGGGCGCCTGAGCGGCGTTTTAGGGCCTAATGACATTTTATATTTATGGCCCTGTGACGTCCCGGTATGTCAAAACCTCACACTTTTCTTTTTGAAATTTGTCTTAGGATGAGGGATGCAGAATGTCCTAATTTAAGATGTAATTATATTTTAATTATGTATTGTTGTGTATGTAAGAATGTTTTCCCCGTGTAAAAGAATGTTGTATGAATGAATATTATATTTTATTATTTCTGCTTATTTTATATTAATATCATTTTTACTCAATTTATTCTTTTATACAATTTTTACACATCTTTAGAATTTCAACATTTTAATTTATTATTCAAACATAAAGAATAAATGTTCGACAATCTGGTTCCTGGGTTTTTCCGTTGACATTTTCAGGAAACACGCAAAATCCTTTTTTAATAAAAAAATACCATAAAGCTGTTTCAATAGAGAAAACGCCTGAACTAGAAAGAGTATTGATACACATAAGGATCTTAATCCCTAAATTTTAAGATCTCAATAAATAAAACATCTAAAATGAACAAGTGCAATAAAGGATCTTGCATTCTCAGAAATGACAATTCCTTAAAAGTGTGCGAGTTAAGCCTTGCAATAAAATTACAATTAGACAAAAGAGCAAGGGGCCCAACTCCGCACATAGCGTAAACATTTGTTGGTCAAATGTTTTATTACACCTCCACCTCAGCGTGTACCTGGTCCACGTGGACCGTAAGGGTATTAATAATAATACTCAATACTCAATACTTAATACTCAATTTTTATTTTTAGGGCGTGATTTTTATATTGTTTTCAGCAAATCAGAAACCTTAATTTTCTCCTTTTTCTAAAATTTTCCCTCCACCTTTAACTTTTTGCAAGTTTTCTTGAGAGTGGGAATGAACGACGCGCCTACCCGGAGCGTCGTCCAACTTCTTTTAATCAGTCTCTTTTTGGTCCCTGTTCGCGAAATTCGGAATTGGTTCCCTTCCTGAACCAATAATTCCTTGAGGTTCGACCTTAGGATTTTTAACGAGATTTGGACTGAAAACGCGCACTCTTATCATTGTATAATTCCTATTTGTTAAAGGTTCCAACTTAAGATTTGTAGCATGTCTAAATCTCAGTGATTTCCTATAACCGTATACATCCTCGGAATTAATATTTGGTTCAGGATTGGATCTAATCTCTGTTTCGTGAATATACCGTTTTACTTTAACTTTTATATTCATTGAAATTTTATCTTGTCAACTTGTATTCTTTTTAAACTTATTAATTTTATAATTTTACCCTTCTGGTTTATAGATTTTGTAGTTATCAATAAAATTTTTAATTGTTCTTATATGTGAATTTGATGTATTAATGTGTTTCGTCGAGAAATCTCATTGTGTGCGTAAGTTTGGTAAATAAACAAACAATTTTAATTCAACCTAACCTATTTTCTCTTTCCTTTTATTTTATTATTTATTCCTCTAATAACAATAATAAGGTGAGTTTCAACTCTTTGTAAGTAACAAGATCCCACAAATTTTATTTTTTAGCCGCTCGAAGAATAGAATACAATATATAATAAAGGATATAAATTTAATTGTCTAAATTTTGAAGTTAAGTTCTTGATTTTTCTTTATTTTTTTTATTCTTTACAATAAATAATTTATATGTTGCGAAATCAATTAGAAATTTTGGTGAGGAACTTTTAGTTTTTCTTTTAACCTTTATTTCCATGCCGTGACGTAACAGCCCTTAATTAGTTTTTCACGAAAATTATAAAATTTTTAAATATTGACATTTTTCATTCGAACAACGTATGCTCGTAATCCTGAAATTTCAAAGAATAAGAATATGATAAAAAAAATTAAAAATTGTTAATATTTAAAAATATTATAACTTTCGTGAAAACTCATTAAGGGCCATAAATAAAAAATGTCATTAGGCCCAAGAACGTCGCTCAGGCCCCGCTCGGTGCATGCGTCCCTCGAGCTCCGAGTTTATGGCCCGGTCTGTAGAGGGGGGGTATACAACTTCCTCTTACAGAACGAAATCGATGACTGCCGTTAATTCATCTTTTTTGCTCTTCACATTTTCTCGCACTCTCTCTTTCTCTTTCTCTCTGGGTATAACGTGAACTACAGTTTGTAATCGCATTCTCTTGTGAAGTTCCAGATCTCGAATTTTGAAGTAAATTTTCTACGATTTGTATTTTCTAAACAAAATATATTTTCGTTGTAAACTATTTTTTGTTACGGAGTTCATTTTATTTTTATTTCTTTAAAAAATTAATTCTCTGTTTAAATTAAAAAAAGTGGTAAATTGTTCTTCTGAGATGAAATTGAGTGACAAATGAAGACTAGGTAAGTGATTTTTTCTAAATTAAGTGTTTAAAAATTATAAAAAAATAATTATTCTGAGAAATAATAAGAGATTCATTTTCAAAGTAGGTGTATTTGTGGTGATATTTTTCAGAAAAATATTTTTTATACGTATTATTTTCACTTGTAATTTCAAATAAAAATATATTTTGGTTATCAATTTTTTTTGTTACAGAGTTAATTTAATTTTTATTTCTTCAAATAATTAATTCTTTGTTTAAATTGGAAAATAGTGTTAAATTGTTCTTGTAAAGAATAAGGATAAAAATAATTTGAAAAGAATTTGGGTGACAAATGACTTAAAGATTAAATTTCAGAGTAGGTGTATTATTTAAAAAGAAAATATTTTTCTTAAAGAATTTTTTCGAACACGAAATCTTATTGTGATGATTGATTTTCGCTGTCGGATTGTGTTGACTGTGTTTGGACCGAGTTTAGTCCCAAATCGGTCTAGTGCGGTCCGAGGCCAAATATCATAATAAAGTAATGAAATATGATGAAATAAATGATTATAATTGATAAATAAGTATTTAAAAAGTTAATTTATGGAAAAATTTATTTAAATTAAGCTTTTATTAAACTTTAATTATTAATTATAGAGTGAGGTGTTTGCCTGTCAATGTAAGTGATATTTTTTTTAATATTGCGATTGTAATAACATTAATAGTTGTAATATATTTATTATTCATATTATTATTTATATTAAGTATATTTATAATTCGTGAACTCAATTATTGCTTAATTACTATTAAAAGTAATCAATTGTTATTGTGATGTGTTTACGAAAACTCCCCCAAACTTGACAACGCTATGTAAATCGATCCGAATCATGTTCGCTATATTTTTCCTGTAATTTTCACGTAAATATACATAAGTGTACCAAATTTGAGCTCTGTATGTGAAAAAATGTGGCCACCAGGGGAGGGTATATAGTCATATTTAGGGATTTTTCGTAAAAATTCATGGTTTTTCCTTGACAACGCTATGATAATCAATTCTTATAAGATTCGTTATATTTTTTCTGTCATATACACGCCAAAATACATATGTGTATCAAATTTCAGCCCTCTAGATAAATTCGTGTGGCCGTTAGGGGGTGGGGTACATGCCTTGCTTCACTAGTCTCATTAATAGGGTTCCCCCTTCGGGTACGGAACCCTAAAAATAACACCTACATTGACAGGCAAACACCTCAGTTTATAACTATCAAATAAAGTTTAAGAAAAGATTAATTTAAATAAATTTTTCCACAAATTAGCTTTTTAAATACTTATTTATCAATTTTAATCATTTACTTCATCATATTTCATTAATTTATTATGATATTTGGCTTTGGACAGAAGTGGACCGAGTTGAGACTGAACTCGGTCCAAACACAGTCCACACAATCCGCCAGGGTATTTAAGAAAAGATTTTTTATGC